TCAGATGAAGATGACGAATAGGAAGAGGGATTGGGTTCCTCATACTTATTATTATTATAAATATATCTTTATATAAATATTGCGTTTCCGAATCGAATTTTTTCAATAAATATAATTTTTAATGAAAACGTGTTTTTTCTTTGGATTGACAATGATTCAACAGGTAGAGGATGGATAGAGAAACGCATACAATTGGTTTCAGGAGAACTATATTGGGTTAGCATACATCAAATTATTGCAGACTTATCAATCCAAGAATTGTGTTGGTCAGAGAATCCGAGCCATTTGACAAATAATTTAGTTCCATTCTTCTTCAAGACTTTTTCCATCAAGTATGCCTCAGGGTTGGCGGTTCTCAATAGCTCCAATTCATAAAAGGATCCTTTGATCGGTTTGCCCCTCCATATCTTCAAGTTTGTATGTTCTGGGATTCGTTAACTTCACTTCGAATATTTTGAATAGTTCCGTAGAGGAATTTGCTGTATATCCCTTCTCGAAAACCCCCTTATATTTGCTTATCCGTACTATATCACCAACTTGATATTTAGCTTTTGGTGCTATCTTCATGTGACTATAAGCTTGCAGTTTCGTAGTAGATGTGACCTCAGAGGGTTTCATACCAATTGTTCGATGCACTTTGTTATTGTACGCATTGGTTAGGCGCGGTAAAATATCATACCATTTATATTCTCCTCTGGCAGAAAATTCTTTATAAATCCAATTCTTCAGTGTTCTTATCACCCGTTCAACGATCGCATCCTTCATCGTACTATACGTAGAATAATGATTGATCCCATATTTCACCATCAATGTGCCAAAGTGGTTGTTATAGAATTCTTTACCGAGGTCACTCTGCATATTTCTTGGCGAGTATTCAGCCCTTTCCAATACTCTCTCCATAGCATGTGTCACTTCTGATCCGGTTTTATATTTTATCGGCTCTGTCCAGATATATTTAGAATAGCAATCAATGGTGAATAATATGTATCGATAACCACTATTCTCTTTAGAATACGTTTGCATCTCATCTAAATCTACTTGCCATGAGTCTGCGAAACCTTTTATTATAGTTCTCCTTCTATAAAACTTTCGTCTGGCAGGTTTATGCAGTTCATTAACTATTCGCCTTTTGGTTGCACTTATCTCCATTACAGCGTTATTCAAACCTATTGAAACACTTCTGAATGCTTGTGATCTCCTTGAAGAACGTTGATATACTAATAGGCCAGCATACATCATATCCCTCTTATGCCTTGGAGACAAATTAAAATTAATGCACAATGCCTTCTTCGCGTAATTCCTCAATTATTGACATTATTTCATTATCGTGCCCAGTGTGACAGGCTGAATTTGAACTCCACAATAGCCGAAGACGTTCTACTTATTCTGTAGCTTTATTCCAATAGACGTACTCTTTGCGGCGTTTACTAACACTCTTTCTGGATGGTATTAATTGTAATATTCCTCCACCACCTTTAACTTTTCGCAGCTGACTCCTCATATTATGTGGAGAACCAATTAATGGTTTGATAATTTGCTGATATTTCGTTTTTGATTTCGTACTCATATTCAACCCTTCCCGTACATCGAAATTCTTATATGGCGCCTTTGTTTTCTTCAGCAGGGCTGTGTATATGCTCTTATCTCGATCATTGATCGATCTCGGTATGTGTTTCATGAATATGAGGTTATATAGTTCAGACGTTGCTGGAAAAATTTTGCTCCTCTTATTGCTGCACAATAACTCAATTTGTCCGGGAGGAAAACGAATCTCCATGGCACCCATCATCGTGTTTTTCGTGGTGGGATCGATACGAACGCCATATGTGGTGTCATAATTGGGGTCATTAGACTTCAAGTTATCTAAATGTTTTCTCAATTGTCCATCTAGTGTGTTCGCTTCTGCCCCATCAGCGGGTATCATAGTATCGATTGAAATGTGTGAAGATGATGTTGGTGGTGTATCCATCATTGTTCTATATTCGGGTTCTTCATCTTCTTCTTGTATGCTCGAATAATCATCAGTGAAACTACGTGATTTTACGGATTGTCTGGGTGTTTTCGTAGCACCTGGAGACGCATTGCCCGACATCGGTGTGGAATAATATGTGGGTTGTGCCATTATTGTCGTTAACTGTTTGTTAATATTCTTCGTAGTAGCTGTTGTATTTGGAGTTGCTGCTGCTGCTGCTGCTGCTGAGATAACATTCAACGGTTTCATGAGTGGTTCATACACCTTTTCGAGCGCTAATTGATTTCCCATACGGTAATTTTTCAGGCTTTCGAACTTTTTTCTCACTGCTTCGGTTGCTCCAATGAGTTCACGTTTGAGGTGAATTTCTGAATTCATTTCAGTCATTTTCTCATGAGATGTGCTCATAGTCACATCTAATGGTTGAATGAATCACGCGGTGCTTAGATTTCACGGATATATGAAGTTATCGAATCCTTTTCTGTAGCGGCCCTCTTGTACTTCACTATCCTTATCGATAACTATAAATCCATATCTATCTGTCCAACTCTGCGCGCACATATCTTGAAATTGCTTGAATGTAACATCTGGAGATACGTGATCGGAAAAAATGTGGAGAAGATTCATTTCATCCTGTTTAAACATAACTATGAAGTTGGAGTTGTCGCGAATGAGCTGTTTGGGTACTCTGGAGTATGTCTGCGCCAGATAAAAGCAGTCCACATTTTTATGGCGACCCATAGAAAAATATGATCTAATCACATCTTGTTTTTCACAAATAACGTCGTCGAATATGAAAATGCTGTCAGGTTCAGCATTCGCTGGTTCTATTATATCTACATTATTATCAAAAGTGTGGAATCCCAAACCTTTGATCGGCTCCAACACCTTTCGTAGGAACTCATACTTGGGCTGGTATAACGATTTTGAGTAGAGGTAGATATTTGTGAACCGTAAACCATTTTCGTTGGTGAGGAGTGATATCATCACATTCGTTTCACCACAATTCGATGGACCAATTATGAGGCCGCGAATTGTGTTGGGAAATAGTGTTCCATGTCGGCGTTCTGAGATGATGTTACTTCCCAACCCCACTTTCTCATCAAAATTGTCCACATTGAAGGTTTCTGCCTGCTGAACTATCCGCATTGTATGACGGTTGAATGATATACAAGGTAGTGCAACCCGTGTTGGGGTCATTTATATTATGAAGCTGGAGCGTTGCACATCGATAAATAATAATAGAATTAGTCAACGAAAGAGAAGCGGTAAAGGGATTGTGAATACCCTAATAAATAGAATACCATTCGAGTTACACATTCCTGGTTATCAATACTGTGGGCCTGGAACAAAACTCCAAAAACGATCAGCTCGGGGTGACCAGGGGATAAATCAACTGGATAAAGCTTGCAAGGAACACGATATAGCGTATCTGAAGTATCCAAACGATTTATCAACTAGGCATTCAGCTGATAAGAAATTGGAAGAAGCTGCCTGGGAGCGGGTAAAATCGAAAGACGCTAACGTAGGGGAAAGGACCGCTTCTTGGTTAGTCACCAATATAATGAAGGGGAAGAGGCGCTTCGGAATGGGATGTAGTGGACGTAGTGGAATGAAAAAACGTCGCATTACAAGAAAAAAGAATAAATCGAAGCGTGTAAGCAAAATTGCTTTCGGCTCTGGCGTAGTCCACAAGGTTCGAAATGTCATACGGCAAATGGGTAAGAAGAGTGATGTCGTCAGAAATTTAGCCAAAACATCCCTCATGGCGATCGGAGCTGCCCGAAAATTTGTCAAGATGGCAGGTGGGAAAAAGAATATACGGGCACCTAGGATAATACCAATACCTAAAGTTGGCGGAATTCTCCCACTGATACCCATTTTCGCGGGCTTATCGGCTTTAGGCAGTTTGGCTGCAGGAAGTGCTGGTATAGCTCGTGCCATTCGTTCAGCGAAAGAGAGTAGGGAGCAGCTTTCGGAAGCAAGTCGACACAATAGGCATATGGAGGCGATCGCTCTTGGGAAAGTTGGTAAAGGAGTTTATTTGAAACCATATCGAGAGGGGTTAGGCATCTATCTGAAACCTCAAAATTCAAAAAACTGAATGATGTACCTCGAAGGGCCTTAACAGACATTGATCTATTGAATTATGTAGATAAATTGAAAGTACCACACTTTCGAGGTATATTTATGAGGGAGAAGCTACCTCGTTCCGGCCCACATCGCATAGAAGCAGCTATTCTGAATTTAGATAGCAATCGAGGCAATGGTACGCACTGGGTTGCATATAAGAAACGTAATAGAGAAGTGGAATATTATGATAGCTATGGAGATTTGCCACCTCCTCAGGAGTTGATGGAATATCTGCAGAGAGGGCCAAAATCGTTAAACACTATCAAAATCACATATAACTACGAGCGCCATCAGGATTTCAACACAGTCTGGTGTGGTCATTTGTGCTTAAAATTTCTCTCGGCAAACAACGGACGCAAAAAAAGTCTTCAATATGGATAGAGAAAGCATCAAACGAATGGGGCACTCATTACTGGCTTACTCAAGATTGCGTTCCCTGCTGAAAATGAGTGAAAAGCAGCTCGCAGACATGCCGAAAGAAGTCGTTATCGGTTGCGCCCCACATGAAATTGCTCTAGTGTGGGATAAACTTCCTCAGCAATTACGTATCAAAATACCAATTTTGTGAAGAACATCATCATGAAGAAGATGGCAAACATGGCGCTGCTGATGTGAATGATGGACCAACACCGAGAAGAATATTTTGCTGTTTTTGTCAGATCAAAGATGTGAATGTGGCAAATGGATGTATTAATACTTCACCTCGTGAAAACGGCGGCATTCATCATTGTTGTAGGCAGCAATAAGGTTGTCTGTCACCTTTCCATTACGGTTGCGCATATATTTCAACATTTCGCGAATTCAAATTGTCAGTTGTGATCATATCATATATTAAACAAAGTGCATTCAGTTGAGTTCCTTTTGTTAATATCTGTGTTTTGGGCCTAAACTGCAGCGGAAATGCCTCTTACACGTGATCAATTGAACGAAGTGAGAAATGCTGCTGACGTGTCGATAAAGCAACTGTGTCAAGATCAAGCGTTCATAAAAACTCTGGTAGATAGCGTCTCAACTGGCGTGGCAAATCTCTTGAGTGAAAAACTTGATCTATTCAAAAAAGAGGTAGACGATCTGAAAGCCGATATGGTGAACATGGAACGAAAACACAAAGAAGAAATACAAAAACTCAACAACAAACTTCTCAATGTCAGCTCACCATCTGACGGGGATTCCAGAGATCATGAATCATCGCATGCCTTAGAAATCATTTCGGAAATTCATGAAATCAAGAAACGCGAAAGTAACATTTTGATTTTCGGAATACCAGAAAATTGCACAAATCTTCCAGAGACAGTTAATGGAATCATTCGAACGATTGTTCCGGCATATAATGACACTGGTTCAAAAATTTTGAGACTAGGTAAAGTTTCGAATGACAGAAGTAAGACTCGTGTCACCAAAGTAACTCTTTCCGAATCAGAACTTGTTTCATTATTGATAAGGAACAATAAAAAACTACAGTCTACTGAAGGATTCGAGAACTATTATATCAGACCGGACCAAACCATCAAACAACGCGAGTATTATTTGAGATTACGTAGAGAATTAACTCGTCGGCTAGAACAAGGTGAAGTTGATCTGATTATAAAATATAGAAATGGCTTTCCATTTATTACCAAAAAGAATTTTTAGTACCATCCAACAAGTCGGCAGTCCCTAAGCTCATGTCAATTTACTATCAAAATTGTGGAGGTTTGAACAGTAAAACACATATATTTCTACAAAATATACTTGCAAATAATCTTGAAATTGTTGCTATCACTGAAACCTGGCTGAGGGATGGTGTATATAATAATGTACTTTTTCCTGAAAACTACACAGTCTATCGCAGTGATCGGAGTTATGGAAGTCGCGGTGGAAGAGTCTTGTTAGCAATTAATAGTGATCGTTATAACTCTGAACAGTATGAACTAATCAGCCCTGTCCAAAAAATCGACCTATTGTGTGTAAAAATTGATACCGGAATTTCCAAATCAGTATATTTAGTAATAATCTACATTCCGCCGGATACGCGTATTGAAGAATATGAAGAGTTCTTCGAATATATTAGTAATTTGCAGGAGATACATAACACAGTGCTATTGGGAGATTTCAATATAACCGAATTGAATGATTTCTATATCACTGATATCAGGACCAATCTGGTAACCCGATTTATGAACTTCATCAATTTTTGTGATTTGTCGCAAAATAATCATATCGTAAATGCGAACAACCGCTTATTGGATTTAGTGCTCTCACCTACAAATATTGAATGTGAAGTGACTATTGACGACGATCCCCTGTTACCACTGAGTTCTCATCACCCCAGCTCAACAGTGCAACTGTCTGTCTCCCATAGTGAAGAAAAATCATTCACATCAAGTCAAAAACGTCTCAACCTCAGAAAAATCGACGACCAAAAGTTTTCTCGTTTACTCACTCTAGTTGATTGGAGTCCTGTAATTAGCTCATCTGTAGTAGATAAGTCAAGTGAGTCACTTGGCGAAATTATTCATGGGGTCATCACAAAATGTGCCCCATTGAAAAAAATCAATTCTCGAAGATACCCAGTTTGGTTTACGAAGGTGTTGATTGAGAAATTAAAATCTAAAGCACACTATTTAAAAATGTATAGGAAACACAAATACCGTTTTTACTTGGAACGTTTCAAAAATATCAGGCGGGAAATCAAACGTGATTTGTCTTTGGCTTATAAGAAATTCATTAAACAATCTGAGAATAATATGAAAAAAGACCCGAGGAACTTTTGGAATTATATTAATTCCAAAAGGAATAAGACTCGTATACCTGGACAAATGACCTATAATAACGTAGATTTATCTTCACCTTCACATACAGTAAATGCTTTTGCAACACATTTCAATAGTGTCTATGTGCCAGATCAAGATGACGTTGGTCAAAACAACATCAATACTGAATTATTGAATAATCCCTGTCAGTATCTAATTATCAACGAAATAACTCGTAGTGAAATAATTGCAGCAGCTAGGAAATTGAAGAACAAATTTACTTGTGGGCCAGATAATATCCCCGTAATTCTAATAAAAAAAACATATTCAATTGTTATCTGAATCACTGTATTTTATTTTCAACCTTATTATAAAGACTGGGCAATTTCCGAAAACTTGGAAATTATCACGTGTATGTCCTGTCTTTAAATCAGGTAAAAAATCTATGATTGAAAACTACCGTCCAATTGTTTTAATTTCTGCATTTTCCAAGCTGTTCGAAATTATCTTATCTGATATAATGAATAACCATGTACGGGCCTCACTATCTGAATTTCAACATGGCTTTGTTAAAGGACGTAATACAACCACGAATCTTTGTACTTTTACTGAATTTGTATCGAACTCCGTCGACTCCAGAAAACAAGTAGACGTAATTCATACTGACTTCAGTAAAGCCTTTGACCGAGTGTCACATGCAAACCTTTTGAGAAAATTATCCGGTTTTGGCATTTCAAAAGCAATCCAGAGCGTTCTGAAATCATTTCTATCGGATAGGCAACTGTTTGTTGAATATGAAGGTGTCAAATCTTTCATGTTTGTTTCCACGTCTGGTGTTCCCCAAGGGTCTAATCTGGGACCTTCACTTTTCCTACTATTTATAAATGATATTTGTGATTCCATTTCTTCTCAGAAATTACTGTATGCTGATGATATGAAGATATATAGAGAGGTTAAGAATGTATCAGACTGTGTGTCATTGCAAAATGACTTGGATTCTCTAAATGACTGGTGTATTCGTAACAGGCTTTATCTAAATATCAACAAATGCAAGGTAATGACTTTCTCCCGAAAGGTCGAATCAATTGAATATAATTATACTTTAGATAATACCATTTTATCCCGTGTGTTGAATACTAAAGATCTTGGTGTCATGTTTGATAATAAACTTACATTTTCTAATCATGTTGAAAACATTGTTACCAAAGCCATGAAAATGATGGGTTTCTTGATTCGAAATTGTAAGGAATTCGAGTCTCTTGATGCTATCAAAACTATATATTTCTCACTAGTCAGAAGTAAACTTGAGTATTGCAGCACGGTCTGGAACCCTTGTCAACAAAATCATGTCAATCTCATAGAGTCTGTACAGAGAAAATTCGTGAAGTTTCTTTATTTTAAAAAACATAAACAGTTTCCTCAGAGAGGATTTGATTACAATGCACTACTGGACGAATTCAATCTGCCTTCCCTACGTAAATGTCGGGAGAAAAGTGACTTAACCCATTAACGGCCAAGATATTTTGGATTAGAAATTTCGATTATTTTTCATTATGGCTAAATAGGGATACATAGATAAAACAACAAGTGAGCATTCAAAAAAATATTTATTCATTACATCAAAAAAAACGAGTGGGTGCGTAAGCGCACCTTTGGCCAAAAACGGTTTTCAAAATATTACAAAAACAATCAATACAGAATACCCTATTTCTTCAAATGATAACTTTCAAAACAATCTGGATGCAGATGCACCTTGCATTTCTTACATAGATAAATTGTGTTACTTTTACAAAATCGACATTTTTTTCTTGCACTGTTGATATCTCTCATTATCAAATGTCCGACATTATCAAACCTTATATCGTCTGGTAGAGCAGATTTGGACGGTCTTCCATGCATTGGATTTGATTGTGCTGGATCTAAGGTATCACCAGTATTGCCAGATTGTCCACTACATCTCAGTAGACTAAGTACTTGTTGTGAACGAAATTCAAGTTGTGAAATCTTAGATTCATTCGCAATTTTGTGAATTTTCCAACTATTCACAACAATACTGTCGATCATATTCGTGAACAGCGGCCACCACCACTTTTTTCCTCTTATCCCAATCCGATAGTTTGCGATGCCATTATCATGGAGGTCTACTCCTCCCATATATTTATTATACTGGTGTATAACATTTGGCTGCGGTATAAGAACTTCTTTATGTTCTTTCCGATTGTAGCGTTTAGCTTGAACAAGAGGTAGAACATCACATGTATTGGTCATCACCGTTACTACAGAATTGTCATTCCACCGCACAACTAAAACTTCAAGTCTGCGATCGAACGCACAAGTGTAAGAACCCCTTTCCATTTTAGCCATCGCTTTACTTTCTCCAAGGGGGCATTTTGCAGTGCGGTTTTCCCTCACTGTTCCCGTTGCAAAAAATCCTTTTTCTCTCAAGCTCATGAAAAGGGAATATGAAGAGAAGAAATTATCGAAAAATATCCTATGTTGATGTGGATTCTCAACCACTGACAGTAGCTCCAAAACAACTCTCGTTCCAGTATCAGAACAGAGACACCAAAGCTTGAAACCAAATCTTACTGGTTTTCCACGAATGAACATTTTGCAGGAATGACGTCCGAAATACGGTACCATTTCTTCATCGATAGAAAGATTTTCTGCAAAAATCCCAAACTGCATATTCTTCCTGTTGATAATATCGAAAATAGGGGTCAATTTAGAAAATTTATCATTTTTATTCAGCATTGTATTGTCTGCCAAATGGATGTTCTGCTTTATTGATCTGAATTTATTTCGACTCATACTTTCTCTCACAATACGCACTTCTTTATCTTCAGCCTTCGACCAGTACATGTCAGTTTGTGGCAGAGAATGATATCCAGATAAAATCAGTATACCAATAAACTTCTTCAAATCTGATTCATTGATATGAGAAAGGTGCCGGTTATTCTGAGATGCATAGGTATTAGAGAAATTCAAGATTGTTTCTGTGACTTCGGTATCGAAAAATAGCGAAAAAATTTCATAAGGCGTCTTGCCGCCATGTTCTCCAATTATATTCTTCAAATACCCAATAGAAGAATCGTATTGAGGAGAATGTGAATACGTAGGTTTATCGATTTTTCGCCATTCTGAATTGATATTGTTTGGTTTAGATTTTGTTGATTTCTGAGTTTCTACTTTAGCACGTTTGTCTATTTCACTGAGAGGAATATCGTCTTCTGAATCATCACTATCCTTATTCACTTGAAATTCAGATCTCCTGTCAATATCCACATCAGCACGTTCTGATATTTCACTCAAAAGGATGTCATCCTCCGAATCGTCAATATTCCTGTTTACTTGAATTTCATACGTTCCCGCGATATCCGCCTCCATTATTTCTTCTCCAATTATATTTTCATCAAAGTCCTCCTCATCAGTAACTTCGTCTGTTTCTGGTGGCACATAGACAACATCAATCGAATCAGAATTTCGATAATCCAAGTCCTCCTCTAATAAAGCATTCAACTCTCGGGTTGTGAGTGCCCTCTTCATTTCCCACCTCGAGAACTGACTAAAATATAAAATAAAAATGAACCACTAAAATATGCACTTCAGCAATGAACCTCACCTCATTTTGAAAATGTGTCTAAAAGAAACTGATACTGATTCGCACTGAACTACACTCGACCAAAGCTAACGATCGACTGATCTTCGTGTTCCAATGATCTCAAACTTGTCTAGACTCGCAGATGATTAGATACAAATGTTCACCGTATTCGGCCAAAGGTGCGTATACGCAACCATCAGAAGTACATGCAAAAATGAACGATGTCTCGAAAATATATATGAAAATGAATATACATGTTATTATTATGCATATTTTCTATCATCGATCAGCACAAAATAATTGGTATAATTTTATATTTAGTGTTGAAAAATAAAAATGTTTGAGAATGTACATGAACGGTCAATTGAATAACATTTTCAAGTTATTTTCATGAATTGAAAAAATCATTATTTTGATTAAAAAAAATTGTTTTGACTGCTTCTGTACTATTGTAATGGATATCAATCAGAATGAGAATGGAAGTTTGATCCTGACCATGCAAAAAAAAAATATTTTTAAAAAGTTGCGCTCACGCACCTTTGGCGGTTAATGGGTTAATATTCATTCATAAAATTGTAAACAACAGTATTGATTGCTCAACCCTAGTTTCTTCCTTAAATTTCAATGTACCACGGTTGGCGTCAAGATCGAATATAACTTTTCGTATTTCAATTCCACATACTCTCCACCACTTCAACTGTCCAGTTAGTTCCATGTGTCGAAGTTACAATAATCTACAGACGGATGCTGACATATTTTTCTTGACTTTAACACAATTCAAGAGAAAAATATCCAATTTACTTCTGAACTAACATATAGTCATTCATATATACCTAGGTTTGGATAATATAGTATAATATACTCCTGTAATTGGGCTTTAGGCCTGTTGGATGTATGAACAATAAAATAAAAATAAAATAAAAATAAAACATTTATCACAGTTTCGCCGTCTTCTTCCTCTGAGGAGTCATGTCACAAACTTTCACCATATCTGGGGACCGCAGTGTTTTGAGCGCCGACTTCTACCCACCTATTGAACTCGATACAACAAAATCCTATGGTTTGAGATTGCATGGTTTCTACTCATATAACTCCATACTCAATATAGATGAGAAAAATAACCGATTGGACTTTTGGGCTGTGTTGGGAGCTAGAACCACCCACAAAATAGTCCACATACCACCTGGCGCCTATGAAATAGAGGAAATCAATAAAGCTCTACAAAAAGCTATAGTGTGCACAATACCGCTCGATGGGCGAAATATTGATGATATATTTTTTCTCCATGCTAATAATAACACCCTAAAATGTGAAATGAAATGTGTGTACAAGGTGGATTTCACACCTGCGACTTCTATAGCCGGAGTGTTGGGATTTGAAGCGAAGAAATACCCACCTAATATATTGCATGAATCCACGTTGCCTGTGAATATAATAAAGGTTCGTCGCTTGAGGGTGGACTGCAATATTACCACAGGAGCATTCTTCAATGGTGAGGAGGTTCATACACTATACGAGTTCGATGTTGATGTGGAGCCTGGGTATAAGCTATCAAAAGAGCCGCAAAATATCATATATTTACCCATCAGCCCGACTGGGCGTCAGTTCATCGACAACATAACACTGAGAATATTGGATGATAACGGTCTTTTAGTCGATTTTCGAGGAGAAAAAATCATCGTTAAACTAGAACTGAAACAACTCGCTCATTAAGCAGACACCATCAAAGGAATGAAATGGGATTTTGTTTTGGGAACCAATCAAAACGCATGCAACCGACTAGCTCCGATACCATTCAGCGCAATATCAATAAGAAGGAGAGAAAACGTGGTAGTGGATTCATTCGAGCAGAACTTCCCGAACGTGAAAGAAATAGATTGTCTGCGAGCGACAAATATTTTTTGAAGTCAATTGGTCTGAAGTTACGATAACCAGCTGCAAGATGGTTGCAACAGCCTCTACTAGCCCCCAATTGGACGTGTTTGATGAACCAATTTTAGATCATTCACTGATGAGCCTACATGAGCACACATACAAACCATATGGGTCACCCTCATTCAAGAATTCTGATGAAATAAGGATCGCCGTCAGCTTTCAAGATCTGATTCTTGATATTTCTGAAAGTTACATCTATATTGAGGGAAAATTCACACCAAACGATGCCACTAAAACCTGCTATCTATCTAATAATGCTCTAGCATTCTTATTCGATGAAATACGCTATGAAATGGGTGGCGAACAAGTATGCATGGTACGAAAACCAGGCATCACTACTACCATGAAGAGTATGATTTCTTATGGAGAGAGTAATATGAAATTCCTAGAGACAATTGGATGGGGCCTTGATGGTGGCAAGCAGGTGCTTCTAGATGAAGCTAGCAACGTTTTTAGCGGCAAACTACCCCTTACATATCTGATGGGGTTTGCCGAAGATTATTGTAGAGGTATTTTGAATATCAAACAGGAGCTAATACTCATCATAGCTCGCTCATTCAAGAACTCATATATTGGGGAAGTGGACGCCGATGTGGAGATTAACAAAATTGAGTGGAAGATAAGACATGTGATGCCGTCAGATAAGCAGAAATTGAAGCTATTGACCCGTTTGAATAGAAGTTCTACGGCAAAAGTGAAAATTGCATACAGGATGTGGGATCTGTATGAGTTACCGACTATTCGTGAAACACCATCTGACATTTGTGCCGTTAAAACTACCAATAGCCTCGAGCGGCCTCGATATATCATCATTGGATTCCAAAACACTGATAACACTGATAATAGATCTGAGGATATCACACAATTCACCCATGCAGGAGTGAGCAATATTCGCCTGTATTTGAATTCCGAAGTTTATCCATACGAGCGATGGAATTTGGATTTCGATAAGAAATTAGATGCAGTAGCCTATTATGCATATGACAACTTCCAACGTAGTTACTACGGCAAAGACATGAGCGAACCAATGATGAGCATCGAGGAATTCCGAAAAAACCCACTATTCATCATTGACTGCAACCACCAACCCGATGCGATGAAATCCTCCACTGTCGACATCAAGTTGGAATTTGAAACACGAAAAACGAAGTTTCCATCGCACACCAAAGTTTACGCACTTATTCTTCATGATGCATATTTTACTTATAGTGCACTGGATGGTTCCATAACGATGGGTGCTTTATAGACATTGAATGTATCATGTTCATGTTAATAATAACGGTCATTTCGAGATTGATTTATATATTTGATATTAGTTATTGTTCTAGAATCCGTTGTTGTTATACTGAATAAAACGAATATGAACCATATTTATTGTTTTATTTCTATACATATACATTAACAATTATAGTACCCATACATCTTATAAGTATTCAGAGGTTGAAGTAGCCGTTGTGTGGAGATTTAATGCAGAATTATAAGCTTTTTTATTCTTCTTGTCCTTCTTCTTCTTCTTCTTCTTCTTCTTCTTCTTTTTCTTCTTCTTCTTCTTCTTCTTCTTCTTCTTCTTCTTCTTCTTCTTCTTCTTCTTCTTCTTCTTCTTCTTCTTCTACATCAGACACCTCTGGAGTTATTCCAATGCTATATTTCCGGACGAGATGGTTCGGCAAAAAATCGGAAATTTCATACAGGAATTGCACTAAGTCCTCTTCAACCATGGCTTCAACAAATTCTACATTGATGTTATTATACTCGAAACGGGCGCAGAGTAGGAACCCCAATTTGTATTGCTCAGCTTGCTTGCAGAGGTTCTGAACCTGTTTTTGATCAAAGCACACACTCGTGTCATAATTTGCTGCATGCATTGCGTCCTGCTCTAAATCGGCAAACTGACATTTCAGCCTCCTCACACTCGACTTGATATCTTCCGCTACCGGCCAAGATTGACTGGAATAATGCATCCACATATTGCACATCTATTGAGGTAAATTATCCTGCAACATAAATGGAAAAAATACTTAGGTCACGAGTGAATGAGTTAAAGAATTGATCATTAATCGAATTATATATCTGTAGCACCACTCACCTATACAAATTCAACCTCCATCAGAGTGTGATATAATAGGTTATATATAATATGTAAGGATTATCATATAGTATTCAAACCCATTTACACTACACTAAACGTTGCTGATGCATCCCTATGATTAAATTAATTTTCCTATATACTATGAAATGATCTTTACATTTTTTTCACATCGAATTTCATAAGAGCTCTCGTCTTTGCACCCGCGAATAGAGGCTCACTCTGTAACAAGTATGTTAAAGTGTAAAGACCGTTGGAAGAATTTATCTCATCAATATCGATCTCCATAAATTTGTCAACAACTCTTTTTGGTAACCAAGTTTTCAAGCTCACTTCGGTCTCTTTATCATAGAAGATTACAGTACCACTCCTACCGAATCTGGTTCCGCATAATGAGATTTTCTTGATAATATAGCTTTTATTGAGGGGTAGTGATGATATCAAAATTTGCTTTACAATTTCATTCTCCTCATTAATTTTATCATTAATTGAAGCTAAATCGATTTTGGGGGCAGCCATTATTTTCGTCCAAGTGAAAGGGGTGTGAATGATATATGAATAAGCGTACTTACATAAAACAGATAACCTTTTATCACACTCAAACTTTCCCAACTTAATTGAGCAGAAGCAATGTTCAATGTTATTGCAAGAACTATGCTTGTGCATGTGGCGGATTTCGTATTTATAGAAACGCAAACAACCCCCACTATAGCGATGTGATGCGCGAAAGTGTCTTCAACTTCGAACACGCTTTCAAGGCCTCACTCTCTCTACAACTCAATGTCACTCACTCTCAAGGTCGCACATGCGGAGGTTCACTCTCACCCAAGGTCGCTTCCGCCCAATGCCACTCTTGCCTCAAGGCAACTCTTGCCCCAAGGTCACTCCGCCCAAGGTCACTTCCTCCCAAGGCCACTCCTGTTCCGAGGTCACTTCCGTCCAAGGCCACTTCTGCATCGAGGTCACTCCGGTCCAAGGTCACTCCCGCCCAAGGTCACTCCTGCTCCAAGGTCACTCCTATCCAAGGCCACTCCGCCCAAGGTCACTCTGCCCAAGGTCACTCTGCCCAAGGTCACTCCGCCCAAGGTCACTCTGTCCAAGGTCACTCCGCCCAAGGTCGGAGGAGAGTGACCTCGGGCGGAGAGTCAGAAACGGCTAATCTTATCTACTAACAGTATTCAATTGATACTCTACCACAGGTGATTGTGAATCAAAGCGCCACAAAATTCGTTGAAATCTTCTTTGTTCCGGTGATATCAAAATCATCCGATACATTTGTCTAATATCACTGGTGAAAACATATTTATGCAATCTGAAATTGAGAAGAATCGTGACGAGATCTCTCTGTAATTCAGGGCCGGTAAAAAGCGCGTCGTTTAAAGACATTTTATTGAACACTCCGGAAGAAGCATCGAAGACGACGCGCAGAGGCGTACTTGATGAATCCTTTTTCAATACACAATGGTGTGGTATATAATAATATTGATCAGAATCAGATGATGAGGGCGTCGGAACTGGTTCCATATGGCCACTGTGTAAATAATATCTCAAAAATTCCGAACAGGCAGAATATAATGGTAAATTCTGTAGTAAACGGCGTTCCAATGAATGGAAACGTCGCAACGCAATGGTGCGGGTGTCGCCAAAATTGGTACAAGTGATTTTGAATGGTAACGAAACTTTTTATAGTCGGCACTTCTTCTATTTGCCAAAATGATTTCATGGTTTCATCCAATTTTGAATCTACTAATTGCGTAAAATAGGAATTTACCTTCTTGTTTACTGGAGAACTGATCAACACTGACATTTTACCCATCAAAGTCCACCCTGAAGATAGTATTAATAGCAATAGGCTCATCAGGGCGACCATGAATTAAACCGTTTTTCAAAATATTAGGAAATATATCCGCACCTAATAATAGGTCCACCTTCTCTGGTTTATTGAAAAATGGATCAGCCAATTCGAGATCGGAAATATGAGACCACCCCTCTGATGAAAATGAAACACTTGGCATTTCATCACAGATTTGATCTATGATGATTGCCTCAAAATCTAGAATGCATGCAAGTACACCAATAGGGGCGATTTCGCAATATACTCCAGATTTCGCTGAGGTAGACATATTTTCAAGTCCTCGGAGAGAAATGGAAATATTAAATTTCGTCAGGGACAACTTATTGACACAATGTTTTGTAATAAACGAGGACTGGGCCCCTGAGTCTAAGATAGCTCTGGCTGTGTGAAAATTACCAAAGGCATCTTTGATATTCAACAGTACTGTAGAAAGTGAAACCTCGTTGTCGTTTAAAACCATTCCTACACTAACCCTCTTTTCACCAAGGTCATTACTTGAAGAAGGGGGAGAGGTCTCCACATTAGTATTTTGATTATTCAAGAGTTGTTGACTATGATTGAAGTGTAACACACTATGATGCGATTTGTCACAAATTTTGCATCTTTCTTCAGAAGTGCATTGCGACACAGCATGTGAGATAGCGAGACAATTGATAAATCCTCTTTGTTTTTTAATGATCTCAAATCGGTCCTCGGGAGTTTTTGAATTGAAAACTTGACATCGATAAATAATATGTTTTCCATTACACAAAAACAAGATGTTACATTAGCTTGTTTTGTATTAACAAAGAAAGATGATTTATTTCGTGTATTATGAGCACTAAAATTGGAATAATTGTAAGAATTCGAACTATTAAAATTTGAATTTCGAGTTGAAACGGAGGAGGTTGATTTTACTTCAGGTTTTTTAGTTTTTCTCGAATTCAAATTGACGGTTTCTAGTGCTTTACATTGCCTAAGCAGAAATGTTTCTAAATCTTTATATGTAGGAATGTCAGAAGACGAGAAATGTATCTCAAAATCAAGCATTGTGGCTGCATCCAAACGATCAATCAACATATTGACTAAAACGAAATCGAATTGGCTTGTTTCGAACCCTAAATTAAGTGCGTCTAGAGCGGCTTGATTTTCACTAAAAGTATCTAATATTTCTCTGAGTTTTTGAGGATTTTTAGACGTTAAATGTGGTGTTCCTTCTATTTCTCTCCAATATAAGGTGGCAAGTTGTCTTTTGTTCACATACCTGTCAATGAGACTTTTGTATGCAATATCGTAATTTTGAGCAAGTAATTTTGTACGTTTAACTAGAGCTAAAGGAGCTCCATCAAGTGCTGATAACCAATAGGTAAATTTTTGAATAGGATTCAACTTCTTATTATTATGAACCAATACGTCAAACATGTCTTTGAACGTTGGAAATTGCGCAATATCTCCTGAAAACCGTAACAAATGAAGTTCCGGTAAGCGAACATGATCAGGGTCTTGCAGACTGAGCAAGGGAGGATTTTGAGTGGAATTAGCGGAACTTGCTGGTGGAACCTGGTCAAACATAGAATTTTCCAACGGAAGCTCAAACATTTCATAATGAGCTGTCTCAATAGCTTGAACCTTTTTAATAAATTCCTCGGATATCTTATTATGATCTGCAAGTTCGCCTTCGGCAGTTTCAGCAACCGCCACAATGTTCAAAATAGTATTATGATGAGTATCAAAACTTTTTGTATAACGCAAAAGTAATCGAAAAGTTACTTTGAATTTATTACGATGAGTTTCATCAGCAATTGCATCAGAAGTTAAAGTTTCTAATAGATTCACATTATTTATTACAGATTGTCTCAGTGCTATTGAACGTGCCAATTTTTCATTATTCGGGGGGGCCATATTATTATTATTATATTCAAGGGGGCGCTAATGAATATATATAAATAAATGGAGAGAGAGAAAAGAGCTATCAGCTGATGATATAACTATAACGTTCAATACCCGTTTTCATAAATCATATCAATTAATACGGAAATATGTGTGAATATATAGAAAATCCAGGTATTTCGGAAAAAAGAAGTAAATATAAACAGCGTAGCGCAAATCACCTTGGTTGTAAACCAGTTTTTGTTGAAGTCTAACAATGAACAAACCCAGAACTTCTGAACTAAGTTGAAGTTGGATTTTATATATTTGTAT